CTGGCATTTAATTTAAATTCAAAAAATACGAAAAAAATCAAGTTCGCATGGGAAACAACTGGTAAGCCGTTTGTAGCATGCATGTTGAGGGGTGCCAAAATAAGGGAAGTGTACATAAAGGGGAAAATAGTAGGAGAAAAATTGTAGGAAAGACAGTGGAGTTAAGATGTTTCGGTCCTTCCAGTCATATACGTCTTAGCTCAACACCACGACTGGACCTCGTAACTTTTAAACTTCTACTTATGCAGTTCAAATTTATTGGGTTGGTGGCTAAGCAGCTCGTTGACTGCCTCGGTGCTCCGACTTTTCCAGTTAGGTCCTCGATTTTTTGACAATAATTCGAGGCAGTAGGGTCCGCGCTGTTCTTGAATCGTCTGGGTCGCCTCCACAATACCACAACACTACACTGGATCGACACTCTTCTACAATACTGACACAGCTGCCTTATATAGGTCGCTTCGCGCCATTACATAACCTACCTGGGAGGGAGTCATGGTGCAACAAGTGTACTAAGAGTCAATATGGGTATCAGATGTAAGTGATGTTACTGAGGTATACACCTGGCACAACTAAATGAGGCCGTTCCAACCAGGACAACATATTTTCAGTTAATAACCACCGCCTGTTCGATGTATGTGAGCGCTGATCAAAAAGTGTTAGTTCACTCTCTTGTGAGTACCAATTTCAGACATATTTGAATACTTGAGCAGCTGTATATGGTCGATGTCCATTGTCACGCCATCGATGCAGCTGGCAACTTTTCCATTCAATTCGTTGCTGTGCTCTCTAGTACCGTACAGACGTACCATGGGGTCTCTCCATCTCACTGGTGGCCTCCCTAGTGTTCGCTTGACTATGCGCGGGTGCCATTCCATTATCTGCTCGTCCATTTATTTCTGACATCCATGCCATATGACCAGCCCATCTCCTCTTTCCAGCTTACATTGTTTCAAGTAATATCTTTCACGTTAGATCTTGCTCGTAGCACTTCATTTGGAATATGCTGTAGCCTGTTGGCGCCAATCATCCGCCGCTTTCACTGCTCTTTGAGAGACTACCAAGTTCCGTTCTTCCGCAAGACTGGTCTTCCACACTTCACACCCATATAAAATGGCTGGTAAGACGATCGATTTGTAAACTGCTACTTTTGCAGATGAATATAAGCAAAATAAAAGGATTGTAGCAAATTCAGACAAAATACAAATAAAATAAAAAGGTTACAAGCAATGATTGTTATAACATACCGTGCTTTTGTGTCGTGGCACAACAGGTGGTTGACTTTGCCCTCTGCCATTCATTGAACCATTATTTTCTAACTCTTTCTCCATTTTTTTGCGCCTGTAATCATCCAGGATTTTTTGCCTGAAATAAGAACAATAATAAAAATAAATGCCTTCCGGGGGGTTATGCACATGGCCCGGAATGCTTTTGCTCTAGCTGCTTCTTTCAGTCCTTACAGTAAATTACCCTTTTCTTGATCTTCGCATGTACATCGGGAAGGAACCTTTTGAGGCTAAGTCCACACATAGGCGAGTCCACGGGGGGGGGGGGGGGGGGGGGGGGGGGGGGGG